AAAACCCACCACTTCAGGTCGACTTTGCACCGCAGACTTATTTAAATATTGCGCGGGAAAGACAGATCCGATAGGTTATCCAGATCGAGAAGTCAGCTGATGTTGCCAAGTGTAAACGCGCCGTGTCCTGATTGACTGATGATCCGATCTGCTTGATCAGATCACGGTGATCACATGTTAATGCCAAGTGTAAACGCAGCCTAAGACTTCCTTCATTGAGATAATACTACTTACCTTTGTTGTCCAGTACTGTGCATCAACTTAACTAGCTACCTACCTACCTATGCTACTTACCTGCTACGAATCTCTCTCAGTCATCATCTGCTTCCATCTTCTGTGATCCGGCACTGATCCCCTCCTCACCTGCAATACAAGGAAAGTTAAGACTGTTATTATCAAGTTTATGTTGGACTATTGCATTCTGAACAATCACTCACCTGCTTCACCGCTTGTCTTCTGGTTCTACCAATAAAGTCTGTTTGAGTTAATGACATTTACCTGTGTCGATCCTCCTGTTTGCTGACCGAAGACCAGACCTATTCCAACAACAACCATGGACATCCTATCCTCTAATCCTGTGAATTTGCTCCTCTTCATTTTCCAAGATGGCCATCCAATTGAAGATTGTTGAGGAATTTCTCAATCTTTCCTATAGAGTACCATGGAGCGATGATACCATGGACAGTTATATCAGCTATGCACTGAGACCTCTCTACCACTGTTTACTCTCCCTGTTATGGCGATGGCCGTAATGTGTGTTTGGGCCGCACACTGCTCTCCTACTCCTATTGAAGTGGAGGTCGTTTCTCACTCTTTTGTCCATCCTGAGATGACCATGGAGGTCGTTTCCAAGTCTTCGGTCTGTCCAGATACGACTAAGAAGGTCATTCCCGAAGTTCCTGTTTGACATTATGTAGCCATGGAGGCCACTCCATGTTCCCTCATCATCTCTCAGCCGACCCTCCCATCGGCCTTAAGTCAGCCAGCTCTCTTGTTGGCTGTCAGCCGGCATTCCAAATAGTCTGCCTGAGATCCTCAGTTCCACCATGGGGACCTCATGCCCTGCCAGCTCCGCCCTGGTGGTCCTCGATCTTGACAGCCCTCCCCGGGCTTCCTGCTCCACCGGATCTGCCGTGGTGGTTCTCAACTCTGCCTGTTCTTCTGAAGGAGTCTTCCTTCCCGTCTACTCCGATGTGGTCTCCTGAGCTACCTGCTCCGCCATGGTTTCCTGGGTTACCGTTGCTGTCCTGGAGATTCCCTCACCTGTCTGTAGATTCCTATTCACATGCCTGCCAACTGACACAGTTTCAGGACGCCCTCCCGCCCTGGTTATATTCTGTTATGCTAGTCTTTGCATAAGACTGCTTTCACCAATGTGGTTTGTGACTAAGACTTCCTACACTGAGATAATACTACTCACCTTTGTTGTCCACTACTGTGCATCAACTTACAGTTTTTCACATTTGCTAAGACACTAAACCCCATTCTCTGAACCAAATTCTCAGTAGACTAAACCAATTTGTCAAATAAATCACTCTTTCTGCAAAACCTTAAACAAGTTCAGGCAGTTTAGACACTTTTTGCAGAGCTCATGCACTCTTTTTTGCAAAACTCTAAACACATTCTCACTTAGTAAAACGCTATTTGCACTGTGATAAACTTGTGAAGCAAAACCCTAAACACAAGAAAGCAAAAGTACAACTGCAACATGGTTGTCATCATTTACACACAATAATTAAAAACCGTTCACACTTGTTTCTAAATATGTGAATGTACCAAATATAAGCCAGTTCAAAATGCACAGATGGCATGGGTGCATCCATCAATCTGAGAGGTATGGAAGAGTGAGTATATGAGGAAGAGGAGGATGAGGAAGAGCAAGACCAAGAACAGTCGTTTCAGATGAAATCAGAGCTACTGTGATAGACCATGTTCTTGTGCATGGAATGACAGAGGCAGGACAAAGAGTTCAACCTAATTTGAGTGGATTCTCTGTGGCCACCATAATCAGTTGGAAAAAGAACAGGAAAAGAAGAGTGGAAGAGAATCTTGTGTAGAATTGCAAGACAACCACGTTAGGGTGGAAGAACTGGCCTGGTCTCGTCGTTCCTACACTAACAGAGACCTTACCTGCTACTCACCTGTATACTCGCCTACAGTCCAGGATCCTGTCTTCAGTCATCTGCTACCTGCCCTCCGTGTGTTCGTTCCTGTATCTGCAAGAGAGACATTCAGTTACTGTTCAGCCAAGTCATAGCAAGCGCCATTTGACTGCCATACTTACCATTGCTTCATTTTCGTTCCTTTCCTGTGTCAGCCGTTCAATAAAACACTGTTTATATTTCACTTACCTTTCTGTCCTCTTCTGTTGTGTGACTGTGTGTGTGTGTTTTTTGTATATTCTCTGAGATATATATTCACCACAATTCACACTTAGGTGTGATTTATTTTGTGTGTGTGTGTGTGTTTTATTGCAAAATATTTACTAAATACAATAAACAGTTTTTTTTGTAACTACAGAATATGCACTGGACACTGTGTTCTCCAGTTTTTGATGTAGTGTCTAATGAATTATCTGTAGTGTGTATATTATTGACTAATGTGTGTATGATTTGAAAGCTTTGTTTGATTTTGAGTACAGGTGAAATGGTTTTGAAGCGATCGTTTGATTTTGAAATCAGGGTTTCTGTGAATTTAGTTTGAAGGTTTGAATTTGTTTTTAAGGTTTTGAGAAAATGAGTGATGGTTTCAAGAAATGTGTTTTAGCAATTCAGAAAAAAAATGTAACTAGCTACCTACCTATGCTACTTACCTGCTACGAATCTCTCTCAGTCATCATCTGCTTCCATCTTCTGTGATCCGGCGCTGATCCTCTCCTCACCTGCAATACAAGGAAAGTTAAGACTACTGCATTCTGAACAATCACTCACCTGCTTCACCACTTGTCTTCTGGTTCTACCAATAATGTCTGTTTAAGTTAATGACATATACCTGTGTCGATCCTCCTGTTTGCTGACCGAAGAGCAGACCTATTCCAACAACAACCATGGACATCCTATCCTCTAATCCTATGTGTAACATTCTCTATGTTACCTTCATTCCAAGTGAACTTGTATTTAAGCCTTGGTTATATTTCTCTATTCCATTTTCTTTTTTCATTATTTTGGAAAATGAGGGCATCTCATGCTACATGTACCTGCTGCCATGCATCTAATTTGAATAGACAAAAGACAAAAAAGCAAACGTTAAGGGAACCAGTCTGTTTATTTTGCTATGCTTAATATGCATTGTTGTATGTTTAGTTGCATTTTATTAATTGCATTTGGCTTTTTTTTTTTCTCTGCTGTTCACGATTAGAATAAATGACCTATAATCCATTTTTGGGTTGTGACCCCCCCCAGTTGAGAACTACTGATCTGGGCCACTGATAATTGATAATCTTCCTTCCGTAATTTTGAGTGTTTTTTTCTAGTTTCTTTAATTTCAGTGTTTCATGTTTTATGAAAGATGCCTTCATCAACAAGGAAGTTGGTTCCTCACCTCTTTGGCGTCTCTTATCCTGCTGAGGAAGGTCCGCAGCTCAAGGGTCTCCAGAAAAAGCGCTCGACACACGGCCTGGTAGTGCTCGGGAGCCAGTGCTGGATTTGCCAGTCTGCGGGCACAAAGTGCCATCACCTGATGAATAGTATGAATGTCATGCACTGTGCCTTCTTCCTCCTCTTCTTCATCCTCATCTTGGCCACTGTAGCCTTCGTCGTTAGCTGCATTACTGCCGCAGTGTTTGCTTTCGCTGCTGTCCTGACCACTGACCATAAACTCAATGAGCTGCTCAAGCTGAGGGCTCAGTTCCCGCTCCTCGCTGTCATTCAGGCCCCAGTCCAAAGCACGGTAGATCGTCACACCCATGGACTGAACCAGCTGCACACACGTATGATGAAGAAATGGGGTGTGTTAGGGGATGGAGAGTGCAAAAATGTACCATGATACCACAATAGTCTCACTACATCACCTTTCCATCAGCAGCAGAAATATGGTTTGTAGTACAGTCATCTAGAAAAACAAAAACAAAATAAGCAACAGAAAAGTGACACGTACTGTATATTTCTAGACTTTTCTTTCTTTTCTTTCTAACCAAACTGATGTAATTACACTGTACTAGTGTTAGAACCATTCAGGTGAATGAAAATACAAGAAATGCTAAAGATGTCAAAGGTTTTTGCTTGCTTTGCCACATTTTACTTACATATAAAATTGCTTTCACTGAACTATGTAAGCTAAAATTTGTGCAAGCTATGCATATTAACTTGACTCTTTCTTAGCAACCTGAACAAAAATTATAATTTTTAAAGAATCACATTTAGTAAAAAACTGTTAGAAAAATGGGATGAGGCTGCTCTGAGATGAACATACTGAATATTTAGGCTTGTTATTTCTAGGAAGGCTTTTACAGCCAATAAAACTGCCATGCAGGCCCCTCAATATGCAATTCCAAGTATTTTAAGGGGGTCAGTGAGGTGTAGAAATATGTCAGGATCATAAACTTTAAAGAATAGCAGAGAGAATGCTCTCCAGCCAGACACCCTTGAAGTGAACCACCACAACTGACAGTCCAAAATATATTGCACCAAAAAATAAATAAAGAATTAACTTTAACAAAACTGGCCAATCTGAATGGGGTTTTACACACGACTGTTTGATATAATGCCTTTGAAAAGCCTCAGATGTGGAACACCTGGCTAAAGATACTCTTAACTGCCTCTAGAATTGTAGAATGTCTCTGTGAAGAAACTAAACCTTAAAGGGCACCTGTTATGCAAAATCCACTTTCATGGTGTTTGGACATAAATGTGTGTTGGCAGTGTGTGAATACAACCACCCTACAATGATAAAAATCCACCCACTAATTCTTTTTTAATCCCCATTAAACCAAATCAGTCTCATTAGACATGGTGTTTTGATTCTCTGAGCAATGTGACGTCACATTGTTTAGGCCCCTCCCTGAGTGAGCTGCACACAATCCGCCATGTTTACCTTCACGCTAGAGCATTTAAAAGCAGCATTCGCGTAAGAAATGTCTTCTTATTAAAGCTATAAAAGTTATTCGGTCAAAAGCAGTGAGTGATTTTCTGTTTTTATTTATTGTTTGGGTCATATTAACAGCATAGACAGCAGTATAAGTGTATATTACGCTGCTGTCACTTAATACACAGATCTAATATAAACATGATTTCCCCCCGGCTGTTTCCCTTCAAAGACATGACAGACTGTGTTTTTGTAACGTGTTTTTAACAAAACCTTGTGTGCATTTGACAGTTTAAGCTCAATAAGACATGAAAGAGAACTTAGTTTAATACTCACATGCCGCTTTCTGCGCGCGTGCTTCAGGTGTGTGGCTCAGAAAACACTATATAAGAAACCTAAACTGATATGGCTTTAAAACGCAAGATTTCAGCTCAATAGCATGATAATCAAAACCAAACAGATGTTTTTTGGCAGAGTATTTGAGGTATGAGCTGTAAAGGCTCCGCCCTATTCTGGAAAAGCTAATTTGCATTTAAAGAGACATGCACGAAAACTGCTTCCACTCAAAATAGGCATTTTCAAAATGATATAATAAATGATCTGTGATATATATTATTTTTATTTGTTTGTTTTTTTAAATATCTTTGTGTTCATCTAAAGAAAGAAAATCATATATCTGGGACAGCATGAAGGTGAGTAAATTATGAGAGAATGAGAATTTTTGGGTGGACTATCTTTTTAAATGCTGTATGACAGCCTGGGTCATTGCGAACCAGCATTATCTGTTCCTGACCAGACATAAAGTACTAAACTAAATTCTGCATCTCCAAACATGGAACACTGTGGAAAAAGCAGGCTGTATAGAATTGATTACCATAGTGCAGTGAATGCAAAATAATAGTTTGATGTGGAAGAGTTCACAGAAATTGAACAAACAGTGCACAATGCTCACTTGCCTAAAACAAACAAGAGGTACACAACTACAGAACCAGAAACTGAAATCTGTTAACAGCCAAGTGAGCAGTCCTGATGAGTCAGTTCAGTGAATACTAGAAGACGAATGTTTATCCATTGTATGAGCTGAGGACGGAAAGAGGACATGTAGTTTGCACCTGCCAGGCATGCAGTAGAAGATGGATCAGAATAATGACTCTGTCGGATGTCCTCTGTGATATTCCACCTTTCACCCCTCCACCCTTTGCAGGGTAAGATACCACATGTTTCACTTATTAATATGAGAGAGCCAGCTGCTTTTGACTTCTTTTAATCTAGATAGTAATTAAGTGTAAATTTAAAGAGTTTGAAGTATAGAGTCTGCATCCTGAGACTGACTGGGGGAGCTATTTGGCATGCTTGAAACCCTTTTGGCATGCTTGAAATCCGTGTATCATTCGATCATTCGTTTTTTGATTTAATATTGAAAGTAGAAAAATGAGAAAACGGCTCCTTTTTAGTTTTTTTGTTTTTTTTCCGAAAAACGAGAAACGAGAATTCAGCTTAAATTTTCGTTTTTCGTTCATGGGTGGAAAAATGAATAAACAGCTTGAATATTTGATTTCTACACGTGGGCGGGAATTAAACGCCCCTTTCTGCTGATTGGTCAGCCGAAGTTTAAGCTCAATAAGACATGAAAGAGAACTTAGTTTAATACTCACATGCCGCTTTCTGCGCGCGTGCTTCAGGTGTGTGGCTCAGAAAACACTATATAAGAAACCTAAACTGATATGGCTTTAAAACGCAAGATTTCAGCTCAATAGCATGATAATCAAAACCAAACAGATGTTTTTTGGCAGAGTATTTGAGGTATGAGCTGTAAAGGCTCCGCCCTATTCTGGAAAAGCTAATTTGCATTTAAAGAGACATGCACGAAAACTGCTTCCACTCAAAATAGGCATTTTCAAAATGATATAATAAATGATCTGTGATATATATTATTTTTATTTGTTTGTTTTTTTAAATATCTTTGTGTTCATCTAAAGAAAGAAAATCATATATCTGGGACAGCATGAAGGTGAGTAAATTATGAGAGAATGAGAATTTTTGGGTGGACTATCTTTTTAAATGCTGTATGACAGCCTGGGTCATTGCGAACCAGCATTATCTGTTCCTGACCAGACATAAAGTACTAAACTAAATTCTGCATCTCCAAACATGGAACACTGTGGAAAAAGCAGGCTGTATAGAATTGATTACCATAGTGCAGTGAATGCAAAATAATAGTTTGATGTGGAAGAGTTCACAGAAATTGAACAAACAGTGCACAATGCTCACTTGCCTAAAACAAACAAGAGGTACACAACTACAGAACCAGAAACTGAAATCTGTTAACAGCCAAGTGAGCAGTCCTGATGAGTCAGTTCAGTGAATACTAGAAGACGAATGTTTATCCATTGTATGAGCTGAGGACGGAAAGAGGACATGTAGTTTGCACCTGCCAGGCATGCAGTAGAAGATGGATCAGAATAATGACTCTGTCGGATGTCCTCTGTGATATTCCACCTTTCACCCCTCCACCCTTTGCAGGGTAAGATACCACATGTTTCACTTATTAATATGAGAGAGCCAGCTGCTTTTGACTTCTTTTAATCTAGATAGTAATTAAGTGTAAATTTAAAGAGTTTGAAGTATAGAGTCTGCATCCTGAGACTGACTGGGGGAGCTATTTGGCATGCTTGAAACCCTTTTGGCATGCTTGAAATCCGTGTATCATTCGATCATTCGTTTTTTGATTTAATATTGAAAGTAGAAAAATGAGAAAACGGCTCCTTTTTAGTTTTTTTGTTTTTTTTCCGAAAAACGAGAAACGAGAATTCAGCTTAAATTTTCGTTTTTCGTTCATGGGTGGAAAAATGAATAAACAGCTTGAATATTTGATTTCTACACGTGGGCGGGAATTAAACGCCCCTTTCTGCTGATTGGTCAGCCGAAGATCAAACCGTGCCATCATCAGTTCTTCTGCAGCAGAATAATAGTCCTCCACTGCTGCAGTTGTATGGATTCTTAACGCATTTATTGCAACTACATTTAATCTTTTTTTCATCAAACAAACAGTCAAATGAATAGCTCGACACAACTCGTACCGGGGCATTGTCTAGACAGGGCTTTCTTCTGTGTAGATATAAATTCTATTCTTTGCATCAGCTGAGCATCTTTCTGGTGCATGCCACAAACATGAACCACAGGGAATACTCGTCTTTTAAAAGGCTTCATTTAGATAATTTTACATTAAATGCATCATATAAATCACTTTGGAATAAATCACAGTAGGCCTATTTATCATGATAAAAAAAGCGACTTTACAGTCTGGAAATACTTTAGGCTATAGCAAATTATTTCTCGGACCCCCTATCACTTTAAGAACTGCTGGTCTACACAGAAGAAAGAACTGTCTAGACTCTGACCCTGTATCCATGAACGAAAAACGAACATTTAAGCTGAATTCTCGTTTTTTGTTTTTTGGAGAAAAAAAAAAAAAACGAAAAAGGAGCCGTTTTCTCATTTTTCTACTTTCAATATTAAATCAAAAAACGAATGATCGAATGATACACGGATTCACCTCTCCCCACAAATCTGTATCAGTTCTTCAATATTTCTTTATGGTCTCTCTTGATAGCACAGCCCTTTTTAGGTTATGCTACAACATCCCAATCGGCTTCAAGTCAGGACTCAGGAAAACATTTTATTTTCTTTTTCAGCCATTCTTCAGTTGATTTGCTTGTGTGATTTGTGTCATTGTCTTGTTGCATCACTCAACCTCTATAAAGTTTAAAGTCATGCATTGCTATCCTTACATTCTCCTGTAAAATATTTTGATACACTTCTGAATTTATTGTTCCTTTAGTGATAGCAAAGTGTCCAGACCCTGAGGCAGCAAAGCAGCATTGGGTTCAGATATTGGGTTCTTCACTGGTTATTGAATGACATTTTTAATATTTATGGAAATTGTTTTATTATACACCTCTGCATAATGAAAGGGTGTTTACATTATTATCATTTTGAAAAAATGCTACCAAGTTTTTACTTATTCTTTCTGCCAGCCAATTCTGAAAGAAAATGTGCCAGGACCCTCCTACTATAGAAGTGAATTCAGCTTTAACAAGCATTTTAATGACAGATCAACTGTGAGCTCTTACTTCAGTGCAGTGTTGTGGATATTTCAGCAAACACTGTGCTTCATACATTCAGTTCAGCAGCATTAAAGAGGGCCAATTTTATGTACGTTTTGCATATTTGGTCCAAGTGTCTCTACAGAACTCTTTAACTTTGTGTGGGAAAGATATTTCATTGAAGATGAGGCCTGTTAGTCAGTACTTGGGTTCTCACTCCATCTGTGAAGCAACTGACTGTACATTTTCTCCAATTACGACTCAGCAATTCAGTGTTGTTGGGTTGGCATAAGGGATATCTGCTGAGGATCACGTATGCTCTCTTCTGTCTGCAGTCTCCTCCTCTAGCAAATGTGACTCAAACGCAGAGTTAAAGAACCCAAGCATAGTTTTAGGTTTTAAACAAGATTCCAGAAACATGCAAGAGAAAAAAAATTGTTTAAAAATTATCGACAGGAGAACTCAGACAAGTCAGAAAAGTAAAAGTTACATCAAATATTGTAGGACAAACACAAGGGCACAAGGAGCTAAAGTCGGCCTAAATAGTCTTTTCTCTCCTGCTGTGATATATATCTGAGTGAAACGACCACTCAAATGAAAAAAAAAAGTGCACAGAATTTATTTATAATAAAAACTGCAGTATTCAGTATTGTTGTTAAAAAACAACAATTGTCAGTTTTGATTTCATGATGAATTTAATAAATAAAAAACTTCAAATAAATACATAAATAAGAGCCTAACAATAACCATAGAACAAAACAACTATCTCAAATAACATTGCAATTTTACATGTACAAATTTATCTGTATTTGGAATTGTTTATATTTTTATTATATATATATATAATTTTTGTTATTGTGTAAACTGTACTGGTCAAATCAGTTATTTGCTACAATTATACATTGATATGTTTTGTCTAACTGAATGCTATTGTTTCTCATACTGAGCCTTTTAAATGCAGATTTCAACAGTAGGTAAAGTTAATGAAACTTATAAAAACTATAAAAAGTCTAAATGACATTCAAGCAAGATCCATAAATATATTCCACGCTTGACTGGTGGATTTGTAAAATTGTGATTCCTATTTAATTTCTATGGCAGTGCATTTGCCAATTTAGCTGACGTATCATAAACATTCCAAGTCATAAAAATGTGTTTTATATACATGCATTTCTGAGAGATTTTGGATCATTTTGCATGTGATGGCTCACACAGTGACAGAAAGTTTAAAAGTGAAGAGTATGACGATTTCACTGAGAATCAGCTCAGTTTTGATCGGGAAGCCATGTGCGTTTAGTTATTGTGCAAACTGTAGAAAATTGTACTTAATCTTTTCCAAACAAATTGTTCAGAGATCTGAACTGCAAATGTAGTTGTGCTCGTGTGAAATTATTTCTCATATCTATGTCGTCATTAAAAAATCCTACTAAAATACAATGTAAAAGACAAACGTTAGAGCATCCTTTGTCTATCCTCCTCTGCCTCACTTCCAAAACAGTGAATCCACGCACGTGTCAGCATGTTTTGTAAAGAGTATAGCGTGAGGGTTAGGCCTACTTACAGTATTTACACACTGCAGCGCCCTCTGCTGATACATTTTGTCAGGCCAATGCAGAAATATTCTAGACAACGGCAGCCGAGTTTTACCGCTGTTTACAACACATTGTATCACAAATCAAATTCAAAAACAGTGTTTACAAAGAACACAAAAGCTTCGGCATCAAATGCATCAAAGCTGAAGAAAATGCTTCAGGAATCAAAAATATAAACTTAACGCCATTGCTCACTGAACTAGATGGGAATTAAAACAAATACGCTCATCACGCATGCATTTAAGTCCTGCCTCGGTGTTGGATAAATATCAAATGCCTGACTTATTTTAAAAATGCGGCATTTTTATTAGTCATATCTCAATGGAGGACGTGCATCTAGGCTACCATAGATTTAGTGATAGAATACAAATGGGATACGTGTCAAATTAAATATGCCGGGACGAAAGAAACTCCTAAACCTGATTTCTTCTTGAGCCTGTTGAAGAAGTTTCGTTAAATGAATGTGGAGTCCTTACCGCTGCTGTCCAGATGTGCCGTGACTCTCCCGTCCCTGTGCAGGATTATTGATGACGGATCTCGGATCAGAAACTCTTCACCAGGCTGCGTGTGCGGGCGCGGCGCTCTCAGCTCTCTGCAGCACTGAAAACACACTGCCCAAGCCTGCTCCTCATTGATGGGCTGCTCGTAAGACTTCAGCACCTCCTCCAGGGACAGTTCCCTGATCTCACCTCTCTCCGCGGGAGCAGATACCCTTGAGTCTCCGTCCTTACCGCTTCTGTTCGCGGATCTGGCCATGACGAAGCCGAGCTCTAGCCTACAGTTTCCTCGGAGTCCACTTGGATCTGTCTGGGAACGGAATGATGATTCTGCTGTTCATTCCAGGAAGCGTCTGCAATAACGTCAGTCAGTGATGGGCAGAGGAGCGGAGGCGGGCGGGCATCTCTGATGGCGCAATTGTAGCAAAAGACAGAACGCAAGAGAGAGAGAGAGAAACAAACTTCATAACCATATATTGCGTATGTATGTTGTATGATGAATCTTTCGCATCGGTCAAGTCTCCTTCATCATGTCTGAACGGGTGTCATATCCTGCATCCTCTGCAAAGTGCTCTCTGAGCTCCTCCCACATACTGGACCAATGAAACAGATGAGCTGAACTTGCAGAGGAACTAGTAGGGATACATAAATAACCGAAGGCGGATATAGAAAAATAGACAAAATAGAAATATCTAAACATAAAATATCTAAAACAAATAAATCGTTATTCATCTATTGGACAAAAGCAACATGAACTAATATAAAATATAAACGATGAACAGGTGCAAGCGTATGCAGAGTTTCTATTTAGGCTATAACCTGTTTTTATACAGTCTATGGCTATAACACGTGTTTGCAGCGTTGAGCAATGCAGTGCTGAAATTTGCGTGTTCACGAATCCTCTCATTATAACACGAATTGTAGACATTATGAAAGATGCATTATGCATATATTTATTGTGTTATAACAGAGATTTGTGAGATTGCGATGACCTGAGATGTCTTTTAGAGATTATAAATGCAGCGCTCTTTGCTGGCATTCTGCCATGCCGAACCATGCACGCAGCAGCCGCTTGCTTTAGTTAAAAATAACAGTGTTCTGTCAATGTTGATGCTTTAATAACAAATATTTATCGGGAGCGTGTATGCTGGGATTTCATAAATTTAATGGAGAAAAAAGTAACATAACTAGTAATAGTAACGTGATTACTTTTTAAAGGAGTAACCAGTAATCAGTAATTTGATTACATTTTCAGAGTAACTTGCCCAACACTG